AATTTTGATAAGGTCGTAAAAAAAGAATAGTAAAAATAGATCTGTCAGTCATCATCATCATGTTGTGGAACGAATCAATCTTTTCCTAATATTTCTACTTGCTTGCATGTAATTTTTTGCAACTAAAAAAGAAAAGTTTAGTAACTATTTAATATTAATATTAATATTAATTGATGATTACTGAACCTGCTTTACTATTACAAATTAAATAAATTAGTGCACGTGCCAGCCGGTTTTATTATTATCATTACTCACTCCAATCACGTTAAACGTTTATAACTTTGGAAGCAAAAAACTACAAAAAAAAAATTTTTAAAATGTTTTTAATTCCTAGGAACCTTGTCTATAATGTAACAGTACTATTTTTTTTTGAAAAAATTTCTACTATATAGAATTTATGACACCAATTTTAATAAATGTTTTTAACTCTCAAATCATTTTTTGGAATTAAAATTTCTCATCTGTGATGATTTATACAAAACGATTTTCAATTTTAATTGCTAAATAAACACCTTCTCATACAGGGTGTTGGTCTCCATGGGGTAAATCAGTTATTTCATGGGAATGTGGATATAAATAATTGATCCCTGTGGAACATTATTTAAAATTATTATTATTATTATATTATTAAAATACATGTTCCCAACTGATAACGATCAAGTCCTATGCCTCAGTTGGTACGTGGTTCTTCTGTGAATCCTAGCCATCCCAGCTAGACTTCTCCCACAGTGTCGCCAGCAAACAGCCAGTTAGTTGTCTCACTGGACACACTTAATAAAAAAGGTAGGATGTCTATAATTTTAAATGCATTCTGCAGAATCAGGGTAGAGATAGTAAGGAGAAGCTGATTCAAGCACTCCCCTTTCAATAAGGAAATGTAAAAGTTGGAAATAATATTCCTTGTCACATGTGATAACAAACAGACAATTGGTATATTTGTTTTGTGCAAGCATTCATTATTATCATTAAAATGATTATAAGCGTTAAATATATATGTGTGTGTGTGTGTGTGTGTGTGTATATATATCACACATACATAGAAAACTACTCTTGGACAATCCTGGAACACTAAAAAATGATTCGATATGCAATGTTAGATATTCAGGACTTGAATATTTAAAATATTACAATTGTTCACATCTTCCTTGTGAAAAAGGCTAATCTAACTTGATCCCCCGATGATATGAGAATATAATTAAACGTTAGGGAGGGGTAACGATGCTCTAAAGTTTATTAATCATATTGTATTAAAGCATTTTGCTTGTCTGAAGCCTCCCAACTTGTTCAATTGCCTTGCCTATAGAAAAAATTCTATAGTTATGAGGTTTGCAGTTGCATGACGCATGCTTGTTTGTGTAAGGGAAATTTTATTAAATCTGACACCTATGATCAGGGTTGTGTTAGCTGTAGATCCAAATCCACCACCCATATGCTGACAATAATCTACACGTAATATTAAGTGTAATATCAACAACAGCATCACCACACAACCTTCGCTCAAGCAACTCCAACTCCACTATCTCGATCACCAACTCAAAGTGATAATCAACCACCCCAATCAAATTCACCACCAATTCAACTTCCATCTGATTTCCATCATCAAGAACACCAAGTCACAACACACCTTGAACACGTTCAATACCAACCCTGTTCATAATCAATATCAGATTTATTCATTTCATCTTTTTGGAAATGATTTTTCAAAGAGCCTACAACTTGTAATTGTGTGCAATTGGAAAGTGCACACACAAGAAAGGGAACCAAGTAGAGACTCAAATGCAAAAATTTTCCACAACACCCTGGATGAAGCCGTTATCATCCATGGAAAAGGGTTGTTTATTTTCAAATTCCTCATCTTTTACTCATAGGAAAGATATCATTGTGTGGCTTTGTTAAAAATCAGTTCCTTAAATTTATTTCTGCGTGGTCCTGGTATTGTCATTATTCAGGTGATGCAATTTATATTAATCCTAAAAATGATGATAAGTAATGCTTTATTTATTAAGAGAAAAATACTTTATATAACAATTACAGAAGGATTATTTTTACAAAAATGTGAATTAGGCGAAAAACTTGCATATCAAATCTTTACAGGTAATATATTATTTTGCTACTAATTCAAATTTCAATTGTTATGATTCTGGTGATTTTCCATCAGTGTCCCAAGATTCATTGAATGTTTGTAATTTTTTTGTACAAAGTAAAAATTGATCAATTTTTAAATAAAAATTTTTATCTCTTTTTGGGTTATTAAAGCTTAAAGGATTATTACCAGCTTGGGTAAACTCGTTAGTAAATTTTGAAAACTTTAGGGTAACCTATCCATATAGTTTCTGGGGTCCTAGGCATAGTAATAAAAAAATATATTAGAAGCAGAAATACTAAACAGGTTTAGATAAAAAGATTACTTTTATTACTGACAATGGAAGTAATATGCATGGCACATACATACATTACTATGTATTGAAAAAATGTAAAATTACAATGGCTTTAGTTTTAAGCAAAGACACTTGCCGTAGATGATTGGGCCAGGAGCTACCATTGCCATAAATAGCTGTTAGTAGCTACTATTTGCCGTAAATAATTACAACTGCCACAAATAATTATGGTGAATAGATAAATAAATATGGCTACCGCAAATAATTATGACTGCTGGAAATAACTACGACTGCAAGAAATAGTTTTCAATTATTGTCATTAATATTATTAGTCATATTAGTCATGCGAAATTTTCTTGAATGATTTGTGGTCTGCAGTAAACTGAATTTTTTAATTGTAATTGATGAGGTCATTCACTTACAGTGAAAAGATAAATTTGCAGCAGCCGTAGCAATTTGCGGCAGCCGTATCTGTTTGCAGAAAGCCGTAAATATTTGCAGCAGTCTTATCTATTTACGGTAGTCATATTTTATTTGTGGCCGTATTTATTTGCGGCAGCCGTAAATATTTTATAATGGTAGTTACCGTTGCCGCAAATAACCAATTATAGCAGGTGTCTTTAGTTTTAAGAGCAAGAAGACTTGTATTGTTTTTAATTTTCCCGAACAGTCAGAGGCATTGAAGGAAGAAGTAAACAAATTACATTATGGATCATTTTCTCATGATTGGTGCAGTCTTCTGATATTGAAAAAGTATTTCGTTTTCAGTAAAGAAAAATAATCTTTGAAGTATCATCGTTATTGTTGCTGTTATTTGTTGTTGTTTTTACTAGCTTATATTATATTTTAAAAAATAGAAGGATTAATTAGCAATTAGAACTGTCGGCTTATTTCATTTTACTCATTCATTAAGAATTTTTATTAATACGGATTATTAACAATGTGTTGATATTTGTTTTCTTACAACGAATGATTGTTATGTGACCATCAAAAATATTCTAGTTGGTATTATTAATGGGTAATAAGCAACATATGAACACCTGAGGGTTACAGCATATGGCATATGACAATGGCAAGTGCCGTATGCCATATAAGTAAGGTTACGGCCAAACATTGTCACAGCGGATGAACGGAACACATAATGTTATGTGAAGCAAAAAAATTTAAAAATCCGTTTTGACAAAACTTTAATTATAGCGTTTGACTGCCGTGTCGTACTACGAACACCTTTACTAATAATAGCTTTTATTGTATACAACATTGTTTAAACAAATCTATAGTTAAATGATGGATTTATTGTTACGCGACCACCAAAAATAATAGTGATACTATTATTAATAATAATTCTTATTGTATATATTGTTTTATCAATACAAATATACAATAGAAATTATTATTAATAGTACCAACTGGGGCACTTTGTTATTGATGTTGAATTTTTTTTCTTTGATGGTCACATAACAATAATTAGTCATTTAGCCGTAGAGCTGTACTACAATGTTAGCCAAGGTTATGTATTTCAAACGTTATATAATTTGGATATTAAAAATGTTGATTGTTATTTATACATGCTTGTTTATTAATTCAACGTGGTGGATTTAAATCTGCTATTATTAATATGAATTTGTATTATTGTATTCAAAAATTTTGTAATTTATATTATATTAAAGGAATCTTTAGTAGTAATAAATCGAGAAGTCTTCAAGGATCCTAATATTTTTGTTAGAGATTCTGGGTGGAAGAATCAATAAAAATTTAAAAGAATTTCAAAAAAGAATAAAAATTTCAACCATCGCTAAATGAAAAAATGGCATAAGAAACATTAAGGCTTCTAATTCATAAATTTAATTTTTTGCCCAATAAAAAAACAAAATTCATATTGATTGATACTATTTTTTTTTTGGATATACATATTATCATGTGATTAAATTCCAGTTAATAATTTTTTTATCATATATAGTAGATTGTCTAATTTTTACCTCATAATAATAATATTTACAAACAAAAAGCCACAAGTTAAAAAATATCGTGTAACTTTATCTTTGTCATCAATTTATCACATGATTAATTTTGCGTACAAACCTTCCAATCATTTCTAATGGCACATCATTAACTGTCTTGACGTTTCGCGAAATCGTAAACATACTTTGATGACTAAATGTCTCCAACAGCAAAAACTACCTCTTAATCATAAAAAGACCTAAAGGAGAGATTAAATTTTCGATTTAACTCGTGTAACAAATATATAAATTTCGCTTTGTACAACAATTCTGGTAATGGTAATATTAAAAGAATTTTTGTGTAAAGTTACAAAATTTTAAAGTTCACTTTTTTATATACTATAATAATTATTTGTGTGAAATAAACATGTAGAATCGATATAACTTTACTCAGGCCAATCAAATTTTCAAATATTAAAATAAATTTCCTAAAAAAATATTTTTTCCCGTTTAAGGGTCAAAGCGAAAATTTCATTACTTTCTCGAAAATTTTTTTTAAAGCAATTTTTTCATAAATAACCACACAAAAAAAATTAAATACAAATATTCATATATTATTGAAGCTTTTATTTCTATTATTATTATTATTATTTATTTATTTATTATTAATCAAAGAACGAAAATGAACAAAACAAACCCAAAGATATTAACGACATTTATAATACTCCTGATAAGTCTTATTTTCATCCTTCAGTTTACAAGTCCAATTCAATCAGCTAATATTGGACATTTACAAAAAAGACAAGATCCGCCACCGGATAATCGTAATTATCATTTTGTTTTCTTTGTTTTTATTTCTTGAACAAAAAATGATGTTTTATTTAATTATTTTATGGCACCACTAAAACCAACAATAGATGATCACAATTATCATTTGTTTATTTTCTTTGTTTTTATTTCTTAAATCAAAAAATGATGTTTTATTTATTTATTTTATAGCAAAACCAGATAACCCAGCACCAAAGCCTGATAACCCACCACCAAAGCCTGATAACCCACCACCAAAGCCTGATAACCCAGCACCAAAGCCTGATAACCCAGCACCAAAGCCTGATAACCCAGCACCAAAGCCTGATAATCCAGCACCAAGTCCTGATAAGCCAGCACCAAGTCCTGATAAGCCAGCACCAAGTCCTGATAATCCAGCACCAAGTCCTGATAAGCCAGCACCAAGTCCTGATAATCCAGCACCAAGTCCTGATAAGCCAGCACCAAGTCCTGATAATCCAGCACCAAGTCCTGATAAGCCAGCACCAAGTCCTGATAATCCAGCACCAAGTCCTGATAAGCCAGCACCAAGTCCTGATAATCCAGCACCAAGTCCTGATAAGCCAGCACCAAGTCC